CAAGTCTAGTTCACTTAGGATGTTAAGGTCCATTGGCCAACACTTACTGAATGTCTCTGTAATAGTTAGGACAGCCAAGATTCCTAAAGAGTGACTCAGGCCTTGGACCCTAGATGCCTTACAAAATCATTTAAATTGAGAATAACCTGTTGATAGCATCATGGTGAATTCTGGGCTGAGTCTAATTTGAATTGAGATCCCATATTTTAGCCAAAATTTGAAATATTAGTGGTATTTACTCAATTTGTCTGTTCTGTTTATCATTTGTTCTAAAATAAGCACCCTTCATCCTCACAGGATGTAAGGGAGGATTAAGTAAAATCACATTCAAATGACAAACTGGGCTTGGTGACATGCCTGGAATGTCAATGCTCAGGAGCCTGAAGCAAGAGTTTGAAATGAGCTGGGGCTACACAATGAGTTCTTTGGGGGGGATGAGGGGTGGGAGACAAGAATTCTTCCCTTTAAAGTCAACACAGAAACTATAAAAACTGCCTTCACTGAATTTTAAAGTAATGTTTCAGAGTTCATGGCAAACCAACCCACCAAATTCTTTGTTTAAATCTATTTGGTAAGAAATTTTCAATTTTGTTATAATTGCACATGCCTTTAATCCAAGCACTCAATGAAGAGCCAGGTAGACCTCTGTGAGTTCCATGCAAAGCTGCTCTACATAGTGAGACCCTGTTCCAAAAACAAAAGAAAAAAAATTGCATGTTTAAAAGAGATTTCTTTTTACATGCATGTGTTCTCATGCCAGTTTGTGCTCATGCATGCAAGTTCCCTCAGAGGCCAGAAGAGGGCACTGGGTCGCTTAGAGCTGGAGCTACAGACAGTTGTGAGCTTCCAATGTTGAGGCTGGGAACCAGTCTTTTCTACCACAGCATCAAGCAGTTTTAACTGCTGAGCCATCACTCCAGCCCTAGAGATTTTCAACTTTAAACAAAAGTGAATTAACTTCTTTGGAAATAAATTCCTTATTTCAAAGGGATATTTGAATTGCAATACATGTAAAAGCAAGAATAAAAACAAAGCATTATATTTCAAATAATAATGAAAAAATTGAAATATTTGAAGACTCTTTTTCTTTGGTGGTGCTGAATACTGAACTCAGGGCCTAGCACATGCTGGACAAGGTTTCAACCCAAGTTACACTGTAACCTTAACACATACTTTAAAACGCATTAAAGAAATAGCATATTTATCAAGGAACAAGGCCATAAGCAAGCCTCATTTAGCAAAGTGCAAAGTATTCCTTGTTACATGTGGCCTATTGTAGTGGGCTACAGTTGTTTTTCTCAGAAGCTATACTGCGGCTCTATTCTGGACACTGGTTCTCATCTACCATTTCATGCTTTAGCACAGTGGTTCTCAACCTTCTTAAATGATGCGACCCTTTAATACAGTTCCTCATGTTGTGGTAACCCCCAACCATAAAATTATTTTTGTTGTTACTTCATAACTATAATTTTGCTACTATTACGAATCATAATGTAAATAAATATCTGATATGCAGAATATCTGATAAGCAACACCTGTAAAGGGTAAAGGGTTGCCACCACTTGAGACCCACTACTTTAGAGTAATCTATGAGGTATATTAAAAACAAAATCAGACTCTGCTTTGTGTTGCTTTATTCAGGGTTTGCTGCAGTGGTTTTGCGCTGTAGCCCTGGAATCCTCACTTATAAACATCTAGTAGGAGATGGGGAGGAGTGAGTGAGAATGAACTGCTCCCTCCATGGAATGGGAAGTCCCAGACAGGAAGTGTACTTCAGGATCTTAAGCAGATTTACCTGAAGTCTGCTGCCTGGTCTGCTCACCAAGGGTTCACTCTGTTCAGAATCATCAGAGGACTGTCCAAGCTTTATAAGCTGTCATAATTCCCTTGTACACCCACCCGCATTCACTAACAGGTAATTATGATTTTTTAAAAAGAAGTTTTAACAGTGTCACCAGTCACACATACTATTAAAAAGCAAAATTGGGCACTGTAACTTGAATGCTGTGGGATGGTCTGTATGTCAAGTGTGTTGCTGATTGGTCAGTAAATAAATCACTGATTGACCAGTGGCTAGGCAGGAAGTATAGGTGGGACAAGGAGAATAAAGCTGGGAAGTAGAAGGCTGAGTCAGAGAGACACTGCCAGCTGCCACGATGACAAACAGCATGTGAAGATGCTGGTAAGCCACGAGCCACGTGGCAAGGTATAGATTTATAGAAATGGATTTATTTAGGCTGTAAGAACAGTTAGCAAGAAGCCTGCCACAGCCATACAGTTTGTAACCAATATAAGTCTCTGTGTTTACTTGGTTGGGTCTGAGCGGCTGTGGGACTGGAGGGTGAGAGAGATTTGTCCTGACTGTGGGCCAGGCAGGAAAACTCTAGCTACAAATGGCGTCCAACGTGGTGGCAAGAGTTTCCACCTAAAAACTGAGAAAAAAGATTCTAAAACAGAGCTAAAAACAGCTTCCTAATTGTCTCTCTCAAATGAGCAGCAGCTGCTGGTTTGAGCTATTTGTGGGTTCCTGGCGTGCGTGCTAGACCTGCCCTATGGCAGGAATGAGGCCTCTGCAATTGGCACATTAAGCTGCGTGGTGGATTTAGCCTTTGCTAGTACAAAACAAAAAAGGAGGTTTCTGGGCTGCACGCTGCTTGGATAAAAGCATAGTAATAGACCCACTATAGCTCCCAGAGCTGGTGAACACCATGTTTGGAAGGTGAGGTGGGCGGAGCCAGCAGCCATAGCGCTGGTTCAGTCTTACAAATGCTGCAGTTTAAAGCAATAGATTCACAATAAGACAGATTCAGATGTAATAGTTTACAATGTGTGTAAAATATATGTAGGCTTGAAAGAGACAAAAAAGGTGATATATACAGTTATATAAACAAATACATAGTTTTAAAAAATAAAGTCTTTAAAGAGACAGTAAAATTAATATATAAAATATGCCACGTAAAGATGAATATTACACAGAGAATCTGGATTGTGTTGTCTTTGGGATTCTTAACTGCAGAGAGATATTTGATTGTAAAGGAAGCTGAGTTAAACCAATATGTATATTTTAAAGATACCTTGACTTCAAAATTTGGATGTAAGGATGTGTTGCTTTGGAAAGGAGACTCTGCTTTTGTTCCCACAGAAAGCCAGAGGCTATGGATTTGTTCCAGATTAAGATATATCAGGTTTGACCAGCCAAGACCCCCTGAAAGGTCTCCGATGACACCAAGGCCCAGATGATCCAACATCCAAAACCATTTCAAGGCAACTGACTCAGACGATACACCCTCACGGACTATTCCATGATCCTAAAATTTTCTTTATGTCCCCATGAGATACAGCGCCCCCCTTCAGCAGGAAGTAGAAAGAGAAGCTACGCCCAAATTCCCAAATTTTATGTAATTTTACTATGTTAAGGTTAAAACCTTCCTTTTTGAAAAAAAAAAAGGAAAGGGAAGTGCTGTGGGATGGTCTGTATGTCAAGTGTGTTGCTGATTGGTCAGTAAATAAATCACTGATTGGCCAGTGCCTAGGCAGGAAGTATAGGCGGGACAAGGAGGAGAATAAAGCTGGGAAGTGGAAGGCTGAGTCAGAGACACTGCCAGCTGCTACGATGACAAACAGCATGTGAAGATGCCAGTAAGCCATGAGCCACGTGGCAAGGTATAGATTTATAGAAATGGATTAATTTAAGCTGTAAGAACAGTTAGCAAGAAGCCTGCCACAGCCATACAGTTTGTAACCAATATAAGTCTCTGTGTTTACTTGGTTGGGTCTGAGCGGCTGTGGGACTGGAGGGTGAGAGAGATTTGTCCTGACTGTGGGCCAGGCAGGAAAACTCTAACTACACTTGAATCCCTAAATCTTTTACACACAAAAATCCCAACACTAACTAATACCAATAATGAGCAAAGAAGGATGAGATCATAACTGTGAAAGCAGTTATCTATGCTCTCAAAGCAAGAGCATCATGAGAAGTTCTGTCAATAGAAAGGGGAAAAGTTTTATGTGCCAGAGCTGAGGTTTCATGTTATGACAAAGGTAAGACAGACTGATGTCCAAACCTCTTTAGTTCAGGTGATAAAAGCTCTTATGGATGTAAGGCTTAAATTAAAGAAGTTAAATTGTGAACATACACAAGTTTTCTTCAATTTCTTTTATTTTAAAAATAATTTGCTGTATTTTCTGCCTTTGAATAGCTTTAAAACAATATAGCTTTTTTTCTTAAGAGCAACAGGAAGCAATGATGCTGTTCTGTGTTAAAGATAAATTTCTGTTTCACTTCTAGCTATACTGTCCAGTCACTTAATGGAACAGAGATCATACCACTGTGGAAAAATGCATTAAAAGAATGCAACAACAAAAACAAAATCCTTCTTAAAAACACTTTGGATTTAAAATTCTGCCATAACCTATTAGGATTTCCTAACAGTATAACTAAATAAAATTTCAGCAATTCCTACAAGTAAAAAGAGATGACATGTCGGGCAGTGGTGGCACACACCTTTAATCCCAGCACTTGGGAGGCAGAGGCAGATGGATCTCTGTGAGTTCGAGGCCAGCCTGGTCCACAGAGCGAGATCCAGGAAAGGCGCAAAGCTACACAGAGAAACCTTGTCTCAAAAAAACAAAAGAGATGACAGACAATACTATGAAAATAATGAGAAAAACGAAATAAAATTATAGACAAAGTTACCTACTCACATAAAGAGTATAAAATATTTATAATTTATCCTTCAAGATTTAGAAAACATTTTTATTTTCAAAGCTTAGCTACTAAAGAAGAAAAGTCAATTTTAAATTTGCAACTGTGAAATTATATTTTAAGAAAAGTTGATTCATATAAATGTGTAATAATAATAATTATAGAAGAAGTCATGAACTTGAGAAGGAGAGGGGAGAATGGGAGGAGCTGGAGGGGGAGAGGAAGGCATAGAAACAATGAAATACAGTACTCATACAAAATTCTCAAAAAAAATTCAAATAGAAAAAGTTTATACCCTGTGCTTAGAAGCAAGTAGGTTGACATCAAGGAAAGAAGTATGCTGGACAGTCGCTGAAGGAGAGTCGTGGAACTCAGGAGCGGCACAACCAAGGAAGAGGCTGTAAGAAAACAGTCGTGTGTCAGTTCTGCAGACCCAAGCAACCCACTGGCACTCATACAATTCAGGTTCTGTGTGATCTTTAATACTACATCAGGATTTCTGTAAGAAAGCAAAACATTACATTCTTAACTAAAACTACACTTTGTTTAAATGATATTGTGGGTTAAATAACTCAGGTTTTCTCTATTTTATTCAAACCAGATCACTATAATTATATTAACTTCCCAATGAATAATTTATTATTTTCTAATGAAATAAAATGTATTAATTAAGGTTCAGCAACTTGTCTCTTAGACATTTATGTCCTAGTTCAAAGACAGGGTAGAAACCGACAATGTCTAATGTCAGAGAAGTGGTATCTGGAGTTGTAGTGTGCTACCTGGCACACCAGGACCATGGAAGAATGACTTCACATATGTCAGAGCTGTGAAGCCAGCCTACAAAGTCCGCGACCTCAAGGTGGGCAAGGTGCTGAGAGGGGTGGCGAAGCAAACAAACTCCTTGGCTGCTCCCGAGAGGGACCGCGTACACAACCGCCTAACATCCCAGTGCTCCAGAATAGTAAACGTGGGTGAAGTTTGGCTGAATCACTCACTAATTAGTTTTAGGGGGCTCAAGTTGATTAATCCATCTAAGGAGAAGTTTACATACCTGCTAAATAGGAATAACATTCAAGAAAATTTGTCTTGAATTTAAAGTACAATTTCACCTATAAACTGCTTAGTATTAGTTGCTATCTTAATAAATAATTAGTACCATGTAAGGTAAGCTAAATGAATATGAGTAATTTTAATTAAAGTTACAAGTCCCTGCAAGACTCAAAGCTCTGCAGGTCCCATTTGTAAAGCCTTGGCTAAGGTGTGCAGGTAGGTCAGTAATCTTACTGCCTGATATAACTCTAATAGAAGAAACAACTTGCAATGTTTAAGTCAGTTCACTTAAAATGAAACTAGTTTTGCAATCTTGAATATTTCATCTTGCTTTTATTTTTGTCTAAAGGAATAACAAGGTACTAAAGAAAGACTAAGAGTTTCCATTCTAAGTAGCATAAATATATTAATATGTATTTAACTGGGCACCATGAATATAAGCAAAATATTCCCCTTGTAGCCAGTCCATGGTGCGTCAGTGTTGGGAGATCTTTGGAAACACTTGAAGACTTTCCTATGAGTTGCTGTTTCATGCCTCACGACACTTGGCAGGAACCTTGAAGCTAATACATAGCTCTACCAATGCTAAGGAAAAAAATTCTTATTGAAAATATTCTCAGGGGAATATTTATGTGTGTGCAGAACAGATATAGATTGATTCTGATTCTACATTTCTTTTCCACCATTCCAAAATGAAAATGTGATCCATAGAGATATGAATGAACCACATAGGATGTCCAAATTGGGAAAGGGGGATAGGAATCTTACATAGCACGCATGTATGTTTTACTATAACATACAATAATAAGACCGGGGCAACCATCTATGTTCACAAACAAAGGTGCTCTTCTCCTTTCATTTCGTTTCTTCCTTCCCTTTTCCTTCCTTTTTTTCTTTTTCCTTTTTCCGACTCCTTCCTCTACTCCTTCTTCCACTCCTTCTTCCTGTCCTTCCTTTCCGTTTTCCTTTTTCCCTTTTCCCCTCCTTTCCTTTCCCTTCCCTTCCCCTCCTTTCCCCTCCTTTCCTTTCCCCTCCTTTCCTTTCTCCTCTTTTCCTTTCCCGTCCCTTCCCTTCCCCTCCCCTCCTCTCCTTTCCTTTCTCCTCCTTTCCCTTCCCTTCCCCTCCCCTCCCTTCCTTTCCCCTCCTCTCCCCTCCCCTCCCTTTCCCCTCCTCTCCCCTTCCTTCTTTTCCCCTCCTTTCCTTTCCCTTTCCTTCCCCTCCCCTCCCTTTCTTTCCCCTCCTCTCCCCTCCCCTCCCTTCCTTTCCCCTCCTCTCCCCTCCCCTCCCTTCCTTTTCCCTCCTCTCCCCTTCCTTCTTTTCCCCTCCTTTCCTTTCCCTTCCCTTCCCCTCCCCCTCCTCTCCTTTTCTTTCCTTTCCAGACAGGGTCTCACTACATATACCTGGCTGGCCTGGAACTCTCTATAGAGAGCAGGCTGGCCTTTAACTTAAGCACCAGCCTCTGCCTCCCCAGTGCTGGCATCAAACGCATGCACCACCACTCCAGGCCAAGGGTACTGTTTTTGTTTTTGTTTTGTTCTGTTTTGCTTTGTTTGAGGCAGTGTGTAGAACTGTCTGGTCTGGAACTCATGAAGATCCTCCTGCCTCTAAAAGGAACTTGAAAAATTGTGAGCAGAGAGGACAAATAACTCCATTCCTATCATATCCTTAAGACTTTATTCCTTCCCTATCTGTGTATTCACTTTTGAAGCAGTTGTAAACCACCATGTGGGTGCTGAGAGCTCATCCTGGATCCTCTGCAAAGCAGTAAGCACTTTTAACCACACAGCCATTTCACCACCCCATATCTAACACTCTTAAAGAAGGGTACCATACAGAGGAACGTGATTGGAAACACCAAGCAGCTTCATAAAATATGCACTATGATGGGAAATACCTAGTCACTGTTGGTTTTAACAATGGAAACATAAATTTAGTTATTTACTGATCTATGTAAGACCTGAAAATATAAAGACAGACATGAAAATTAAATATACTTATATATATACTGAATGGAATATTCAAAAAAACTTCTTTTCTGGAATCACTCAGTAGATATTATAAGACGTTCATAAGCACACAGTCCAACTATCAAGTCATAAATACTCTATTAAGTAATTCTTGTTAACTCATATGTACTCACAAGAGTTCTACTTTTCTTTGTCAAATTCCAGAAAGAAATAGAAATAATAGCTGGTTACAGTTTTCCTTTATCAAAACTATTTCTTTCAGTACAATGCAGACACAAAGGTATCGTTTTTAAGATATGAGACTGGCCGGGCGGTGGTGGCGCACGCCTTTAATCCCAGCACTCGGGAGGCAGAGGCCGGCGGATCTCTGTGAGTTCGAGGCCAGCCTGGGCTACCAAGTGAGTCCCAGGAAAGGCGCAAAGCTACACAGAGAAACCCTGTCTCGAAAAACCAAAAAAAAAAAAAAAAAAAAGATATGAGACTGGAGGTAAATTTTTCCAATTTGGTTTGAGTGGCCACTTACCTAATGTTGCCCAGCTCACAATCTGATTCATAAAAGGCAGGCCTTCTTTCTTTAACAGACTGTGGTGTGTGCTGTACACAATGTACATAGAGAGCGCTGTACTCACCATCTGAAAACACACCACACAGGTTAGCAAAGGGAAGGCAGGGAAAGGTGACATACTGGAAAGAAAATGCTGAGAAAAACTGGAACTGAACCAGTCTGCCTTCTTGTGCTCCAGAACTACAAGTCAGTACTGCCATGCTAAGCCACAGACTTGCCAGAGGATGACATGAGGCACGTACATTCTCAAGAGTGCTACAGCATACCTCATCAGTGCTTCTATTTAGAAGTATCTGTTAAAATGTTGAAGGTTTCTTAAATTATGCAAATGGAGGGAGTGTCTAGTTTCATGCCTTTCCCATCTCTGTTCCTCTGCAATATCCATGTATTTATTTATTCAACGTTTTTGCAGTCTGGATATTTACCTGGCCATGGGAACTGACACAGTATAAATGGTCATTATATGTTACTGTAAAGGAGGAGTCAGCTTAAAGGCTGTTCTCATAAAAACTGCTTTATTCATTTTTGCATTGTCTCCCTTTGTGCTGGCATGCTAGACTTGAACATTTTTAACAGACTCCATATGCATGACAACCAAAAATATTATCCAGCTATATAGAAAAATGACTAATGATCCCTGAACTAGGTGAATGAATTACCAATTTAAAGAAATGAGCCGGCCGGGCGGTGGTGGCGCACGCCTTTAATCCCAGCACTCGGGAGGCAGAGCCAGGCGGATCTCTGTGAGTTCGAGGCCAGCCGGGGCTACCAAGTGAGTTCCAGGACAGGCGCAAAACTACATAGAGAAACCCTGTCTCGAAAAAAAAAAAAAAAAAAAAAAGAAATGAGCCAAAGTAAGACTACAAAAAAATAAGCTCTCAGAGTTTAGATCAGTGATCTCATCAAATCCTAGAGATAAATTTAATTTATTTTGTCTTTTCAGGGGATAAATTAAGACACAAAAATTGCTGTGAATAAAGCTATGATACAATCCTAGAATCCTTTCTATTTAAGACATTGTGGTGGTTTGAATAGGTATGGCCTCCATAGACCCCTGTGTTTGAACACTTGGCCCACAGGGAGTGGCATTATTAGGATGTGTGATCTTGTTGGAGTAGGTATGGCCTTGTTGGAGAAGTGTGTCACTGTAGAGGAAGGCTTCGAGGTCTCATAAATGCTCAAACCATGCCCAGTAAGTCAGTTCACTTCCTGTTGCCTGTGGATCAAGACACAGAACTCTTAGCTCCTTCTCCAGCACCATGTCTGCCTACACACTGTCATGCTTCTTGCTATGACAATAATGGACTAAACCTCTAAAACTGTAAGCCAGCCCCAATTAAATATTTTCCTTTATAAGTTTCTGTGGTGATAGTGTCTCTTCACAGCAATAGAAACCCTAACTAAGACAGACATATTCTAATTCAGAGATGCCAAAATGAGAAAAAAAAATGCCTTGGCATCAATAAAATATGTCAAGCACAGGAATTAATGCAAATTACTAAAGATAATGCAAGAACTTTACAATGGAGTTATACAATACTCAGTGGTATTTCTAACAAAGTATATAAGAATTTAAACATGATATTATTTCTTCTCTGGAGTAAGAGTCAGGAACACACACTACTGTCAAAGCTCTCATTACTGTAGGCAGATTCTGCCAAAACTACCCTAGCTTTAGAGGAAAGCCAGTCAGTGTGCCATTTACAATGAAACATATGTTCTTAGGCTCGACAGGATGTTTACAAAGGATTTTGTCTCTTCTTATGAGTTCACTATTGCTCTCCAAGAACGAATGTAACTTACTATATCTTTTAAGCACGGTATATTTTTATTTCACACTGCTTTGGAAACAATTATGATGGCTTTGTTCTGAGAGAACTTTTTGAGAAGACTCATATGGGTTTGGTAGAGCTCCAGATATGGTTATTTATCCATTACAGGAAGTGGTGAAAAGGGAACTCAGGTTGGTGGCAATGCAAACTAGTGCAGACACTTTGGATATCAGTCTGGAGGTTTCTCAAAAACTAGAAATAGAACTGCCATATGACCTGGCTGTATCACCCAAAGGACCTCACATCCTACTACAAAGACACTGGAATACCCATGTTCACCAGTACTCTAGTCATAATAGCTAGGAAAGAGAATTAACCTGGATGACTAATAACAGACGAATGGGTAAGAAAAATGTGACATGATGAACTATTACTCAGCTGGAAGGGCCATAGCTATTGCACACATAAATTCACAGTGCTATGATTACCTGCACAAGAACAAGTCAGCCTAAACTTTGATATAGATGGAGGAGGTACTCTCTAGGCATCACCACCAAATGAGGAGCTTTTGGCAGCTGACAGCGATGGAGAGAGACTCATTCTTTTTGGAGGGTGTTCCCACTGGTTGGTTTCCCATGCTCCAGTGGGTGGCCTCACACCCATACATAGATGGACTTGGTGGCACATACACATAATGGGATATTACTGGAGGGTAAAGTAAAATGAAATTATGAAATTTATAGGTAAATAGATAGAATTGAAAATAATCATTCTGATACCTGAAACCCAGAAAGGCAAATACCGCATGTATTTTCCTTTATGTGAAGGATAGATTTGATTCTTTGGATATATATGTTTAAAATAGAGTACCAATAGATGACAGGAAACCAGTAAGGGGCCATGGGAGGGTGCTCAAGTTGTTGGTCAGTGTGATCCCTCAGACTCTTCTCAATAATAGTATAGGCTATTGCCATTGCTTTCAGTTACCCTCCAGAGCTTAATGGTAAGATTTCTGCTGGAGACACCACAAACATGAGTCATAGGACATGGAGAAATTAAGTGGTACAACCTGGAAGCTCTATCCCCACTGCCTAGTTCTTACAGTGCAGGAAGGTGTTATGCATGTTACTGGGGGAGAAAAATAATCAAGTCTTACCCAGCTGTGAACCCTTCCAGCTACAATAATGACGGGACTGGCAAGACAGGCTCACTGGTGCAATAGGTGCACAAATACTATGGGACTGACCAGCTATTTCCTGCTTGGACTTCACCTCCTTGACAAGATGGAGCTCGTTCCTTCTACTGTTCATTGGACCAAAGCCCTGTGGCTGGCTAGGTCATAGGTCCTAGATTAGAACCTAGCACTATTATTCTGCTAAGTGGATATTGAAAATTTGTAACTGACCTGTAACAGAAGTACCAACAGCTCCTCGTTTACCAAAGTAATTTTTCTTTTCATGAGAGTTGTTACAATAGCCAGGGACAGCAGAAGAACCAGCAAGCCTGCACCAATTCTGTTTCAAAATATAATTCACATTAAAACTTTTCTAAAGAAGCATACTAAAGACAGCATATGAGAATATGAGACACTTTACACAAATGTAGAACTCCCAAGCATTTCGATTAATCAACAAGTAGTAAAGCTGGCAGAGGAATGGTGGGAAATAAGAGGACAGGAACATGGCAGGGTTACTTGTAACCACCTTCCACAATTTTGGTATATTTACTTATTACCTTATTTCTCTAATTCATTCTTTTTCATTCACCAACTGCCATGTTTCTTAATCTGAACTTGGCAAATATACAGAAGAGAATATAAAAGATAGCTAAACAAAAGACTGTCAGCATCTGTCACGCAGATTCTGACTCTGAAAACTCATTCACACAGAGAAGAACACAGCACTCCTAAACAGCTCCTTCCTGTCACTGATCTTGGTATCCCTCAGTTGGCATGGCTGTAAGGTAGGGCAGTAGTCTCAAAGGTGTTGGGGGAATACATCATCATACAAGTCATCTTGTATATGATGAAGTAGCTAATTTCACTTTCTAGACTGCTATGAAAATGGTCACTGAAGTCACAGGCAACTAATATCAAGGAATTTTAGCTCTATTTCTTAATTCATAAAAATCTGAGTAATATAACTAAAAATATGTTCATGATACAATCTAGAACTCAAATTAAGAAAACTAAGGAAAAATTAGCTTGTTATAGAAATAAGCAAATGCATGATAAGATGTAGGCCAAGAACATGGCTGACATTTGTTTTAATTTTTAAACGAATCTGAGAATCATAAGAATAAAGAAAAATAGTTTTGTAAAATAAAAAACTTTGCTTTTTCTCTTTCTTTCAAAAAATAAATTGCATTTTAACTCATTGGCAACTCTTTTGATTTAGTGCACCGGGCTCACAGGATTCTGATAGTTACACTATACACCTATCTGCTCTTCCTACTTTGTCCTTAAATGTTTCATGTATCTGTTTCTGTAATCTAGAGGACAGAATTGCTGTGAGAGACCAAATGGAGACAGAACTTCCTCTATGAACTAAGAGTAAAATAAATTGCAAATAATCACAAGAAGCCAACATGAATTTAACATTCATGGCAATCTAAATCAAGTTTAGAGAGAAACACCATAATTTTCAAAAACACAATTTTGATTTTTCACATTTTAGAAGGTTTATTTGCTTTCTCAGTCAGTCTTTAGTGGAATATACAAGTGGCAAATTTCTACAGAGATCATTTATGCAATTTATGCCCCTTTTAGCATATTATAACTTCCTCCTAACTATGTCAATATAGCTTGAGCAGGACAAATGGACAGCGGCTGATAAAAGGAAAGAAAGGGTTTTATAGAGACACTAAAAGAACTCACAGGACAGTCTACATCAATACATAAATAAATAAAAGTATTTGAATTTAGGTTCTCAGATGCTATGTATACTTCATAAACCTTCCAAAACTTTAATTTATCAATACTGTAATATAAAAGTATAGTTTGGATGGTATGGTCTTATAATTCAATACAATTATTGGGCTCTGCTTATAAACTGCATTCCTAAGACACTTCCTGATCCAGTTCATACTGATTTTGTTGTTTTGTTGTAAGAAACCAGGAAAACCAACAAACAAAGAAATGTAAAGAATTTCTTAAATTATTGTATAGCTTGGTCCTCTTGTGGGAGTCCTAACAGTGGAGCAGGGATGGTCTCTGACTCTTTTACAGGCTTTTGGGACCCTACTCCTCAAACTGGGTTGTCATGCACAGTCTTAATACATGGGGAGGTACTTAGTCTTACTGCAACTTGATATGCCATGTTTTATTGATACTCATGGGAGACCTGCCCTTTCCTAGATAGAATTGGAGGAGGAGTGGATTGGGAGGTGGAAACAGAGGGAGTGTTGGGGAAGCGACTGGGAGGAGAGGAGGGAGGGAACTGCAACTGGGATGTAAATAAATAAATGTTTATTAAAAAATAATAAAAATTTTTTAAATTAACAATTACTTAAAAATATTCAGTTAATCTTTCTACTGTTAAAAAAAAAGATATACCCTCATCTATTAAAAGTTAGGTTAAAATGCTTTTTTAAAATGCCCAGAGTAAATCAGGCAGTGGTGGACCACACCTTTAATCCTAGCACTCTGGAGGCAGAGGCAGGCAGATCTCTGAGTTTAAAGCCATCCTGGTCTACAGAGCAAGTTCCAGGAGATCCATGGCTACACAGAGATACCCTGTCTCAAAAAACCAAATTAAAAAAAAATACCCAGAGCACTCAGATGTAAGCAGCAAAGGTGACTACATGATTTATAAAAAGAAGAATGGAGTGGGGTGGTGTACATGCCTAAATCCCAGCACTCAGAAGGCTGAGTCAGGACACTGAGTTTGAGGCCAGCCTGGGCTACATATACAGATTCTGTCTTTAAAAAAAAAAAAAAGTAAAGGAATTTCAGCAGCAGCTAGATGAAACAAAGATAATTTAGTCAAGTACCCACAGACACACAAGGACACACACGCACACACATGGGTGGGAAGGAGTGCCAGCAGGTTACCTAATAATAACTTAAAAGCAAAGGCAACCAATTATTTTTAACACTAGTCTATGTCATATTGAGGAGAAATGTACCATCAACATTGGGAACATATGTAAAACATAGAAAATTATTTTACACAATTTGAATGGTTAAACACAGAAAAGTTTCCTAGCAAGTACAAGGTCCTGGGGTTGATTTCCAGTTCTGCAGACGAAATAGAACAAGACAACAATGGCCCTGCCCCTCGCTGAACACTGCAGCAGGAGAGCTGGCCCAGCACCCCCATGGGAGAGCTGCCCCCAGCTCTCAGGAGAGCGGCCCCCACACCTCACCATGGGCATGGGAGAGCTGGCCCAAATGGCATGGGCCCTCACCTTAGGAAGTAGTCCCAGTGGACCCGGACCAGCTCAGCTACCACCCAGACTCACATCCTGAACCTTGGGTAGGCCCACTCTAACATCTACCCCATCTATGGCCTGCTGGAGTACGTGCAGGGACTGTCCTGTGGAAAGACAACCACAGGATCCCTCTGACTGGGGACAACAGCAGGATATCCCAGAGGAGTTTCGGCAAGGGTGGGGCTGATTGGACAAAAGGGGGTACTGTGTGACACACCACAGCTCCAGACGCCACTAGGATGAGTGAAGAGGTCTTGGAAAGACGGAGGAACGAGATGGGTTTCTGTTTCTTTTGTTTTGTTTTTAATTAATTTTAGGGGGGGTAATGCTGTAGAGGTGAGGGGCAGATATGGAGGGACAGGCAAATGGGATTGGGGTGCCTGATGTGAAATTTCTAAAGAACCAATAAAGAATTATGTTAAAAGATTAAAATAAAGAGTAAAATAAAAAAAACAACACAGAATAAATGTAAAGCTTTCAAAATAAACAGAGATATTTTCCCCCCATAGGAAAAAAATTTAATTCAAATAGGGCAGACTTTCATTTGTCAATGGCATTTGGTTATGGACACACTCGAAGGCAACACTCCAGCAACAGAATACTTTCACATGTAACTAAAAATTTACAGATTCTATAATACTCAGAATAAAGAAAATCTAGTCTGCGATGGGAGTGAGTTTTAAGTTACTGCTTGATGCAGTTTTATTGCCTGTGAAGGTCTGGTAGCATCTCCACAATGCCTCTCAGGCTAATTATAACTAGTAATTTTATATTACTATTTCAAGTTTATCCATGCGATGTTAAGCTCAGAACCAAGATTAAAGTGTTATGGTGTTGGGGATGGAGAGGTGGTTCAGCAGTCAAGAGCACTTCCTGCTCTGCTGGAGGATGGCAGTTCAGTTCCCAGCACCTACATCAGGTGGCTCCCAGTCACCTGCAACCCCAGATCCAAGGGCCTCACATCCTCCTGAGGCCTTCATGGATACACACACACACACACACACACACACACACACACACACACACACACACACACAGAATTGTTTTTAAATGTCAGAGTGTCCACAGAGGACAAATTCGACTGAAATGGAAAATGCTGTACGTACACTAGAGAGAGGTCTGGCTTTCTACCCACAACAGGCATCAGTGGAAACACTGCCAGAAGCAAAGAGAAGAGAGCCCAACTCAGGCAGGTGATCTACAATGAAGAAAAAAATACATTTAGAAATCTGTTTTCAGCATCTCACATAGTGCATGAATGTGAAGCTAAAAGCAAAACCTGTCTGGTATTTACTGTGGAAAGTAACATTGTAATGACAAAATGTACAGCAGGAAGCAGCTGAAGGAAGGAAGGTTTGTTTTCCCTTCCAGTTCTGTCTATCATGGGGGGCGCGGGCGGTCATGACAGCAGGAGCTGGAGGCAGTTGGTCACACTGCAAAAAGTCAGGGAGAAAAACCAATGTTGCTGCTCACTTTGCGCTCCTTTTTTTTTTTTTTTCTGATAGTCCCAGTAGTTCAGGTGGGAATTTTCATCTTGAATAACTACTTCCCAGAGACTTGTTTCTACAGTGATTCTTAATCCCATCAAGCAGACAGTCAAACATGGTAACCTTAAATAATATTTCCTGGTTTGTGTTTGTTTATTGTTAGAAATTTTCACACTTATACCTTTGCTCGGGTCCACAGCTGGGTAAGAAACGGCCAACAGGCAAACACAATCAGTCCTGCTGTCAGCATGTAGCGGTAGAAGAAACTCAACACCTGGTGATACATGCCAAGAAAACCACAGTAAGGGCTCTAATCCAGTGCTGTGAAAATGCAAGACACCCGGAGATGCAGCCTAGTCACGTGCTTACCAGTACTTCAATTCCCAAGACGAACATGAGAAAGTAGGTAACAAAATGGCTCAGAGGAAAAGTCAACAGTGATGAAACCAGGTCTTGAATAACTTGATATCTGTTTGAGGAGATGATTTACAAAAAGATTACTTCTAATTTGCAAAGCATCTTAAAATTAGCAACATAATACAAAAAATAAAAACTGCTCAAAGCTAAAAATCCCAGAAATTTCCATTCATAAATTATTTAAAATTCAAGATAAACTATAGCAATTTGTTTCAATGGCTTTGCTTACTTTAATTTCCACTTATTAAGGTGGGAAATCCTTAAGTATTTGGGGGAAAATGATGACAAGCATTTGCTTAGCTTTTGTAAATATGAATGACAATAAATTATTATTATTATTATTATTTTTTTTTTTTTTGGTTTTTTGAGACAGGGTTTCTCTGTAGTCTTAGTGGTCCTGGAACTCGCTCCGTAGACCAAGCTGGCCTCAAACTCACAGAGATTTGCCTGCTTCTGCCTCCCAAGTGCCAGAATTAAAGGCATGCGGCATCACCACCTGGTTCAATAAATGATTTTTGTACAATCTTACTTTTAAAAAGGTACATGTATTACAAATGAACTAGAAAGAAAATAAAATGAACCCCAAAGTATGGAAACTGAAACTCACCTGGATAATCATTTATCTACCACTGAGCTACAATCCATAGCCTTAGTAGGGAAAGTCTTAATTGCATTTATTGACTTGTTTATTTGAAGTACTGAAGACAAAACCCAGGGCTCGACATGTGCCAGACACTCTGATGCTAAGCTAACACCTCAGTCTTTTCATCTAAACTTTATTTAGTCAGGCTGGCCTCGAAATCCCCGTTGTTTTTGTGCCTTAGCCTCCTGAAGAGACTGGATTACAGACATGCACCACTACTCCCGGCCTAACTGCACTTTTTAACTGAGCCAAATAACCTTTCCAAACCCAATTTAAGATGTCATTAATTGGCCGGGCGGTGGTGGCGCACGCCTTTAATCCCAGCACTCGGGAGGCAGAGCCAGGCGGATCTCTGTGAGTTCGAGGCCAGCCTGGGCTACCAAGTGAGTCCCAGGAGAGGCGCAAAGCTACACAGAGAAACCCTGTCTCGAAAAACCAAAAAAAAAAAAAAAAAAAAAAAAAAAAGATGTCATTAATTGTACACTAATTGTAATTGGGAATTTATAACCACCAAAAATGTATTACATACTTGAGTACATTTTACACTTCGCCACTGAGAAGAAAAACTTTAGCATTTGTAGAGCATTAAGTAGGTAATTATAAAAGGCCAGTGTCATTCGGTTTATGACCTTTTTCTGATTGAAAACAACGGCTATAGAACAGAATGCTATCACACTGCCAAGCAGCCACCTAGGAAAGAAAAGTCAGTACTACCAGGAGAATATCTCTTTTGTTTTCTACTGTGAATAAGCAAAGAAGCACAAAAGATTAAATGAAGTCCATTTTGTAGAGCTTTTATTCTAGAAAAAAAAATGGGTTAAATATCACATTTTTATTTACTTATTGTTTGTATATATGTGTATGGGTGTACATTGTACAGTGTGGATATAGAGGAGAAGAACCTGTAGGAATCTGTTCGCTCCTTTTACCATGTGGGTCCCAGGTGCCTTGACCTGTGGAGCCATCTAGCCAGCCTACAAACTCACTTTTCATGTTTTGTTTTCCATGCAACCTATTAAAAGGGTGAAATAAAATAAAACTGCAAAATCACACCTTCCTTTAAAATTTAAATATGCATATGTTATCTCTACAATTGGGCTATTTAATAATTCAGAAGGAGTTCTATAATAGAGCACAATTTTCTTCCTGCCTAGGAAACCTTTTAGAAAATTGTGAAACCAGAGAAATGATATCAGGAAAAAAGAACTGTGAGCTAAGCAAACCAATAGCCTTACTTCTTTTAGATGGTGAATTCACAGTGTGTTCTTTGCTCAGTGTCTTTTTTCCTTATATTTAAAGATATCTGAAGCATTTCCATATTTTATTTCTTATATTCTAATATCTCAATATTTTTAAATCATATTTTTAAAAGACAGAAGTAGTCAAAGCTAGAATCAACAAAAATTAGAACACACATGCTAGCCAGTTGCTTTGTTTTGTTTGTTTTATTTTTTTAGGAAGCCTTTTCCTATATATAAAGTCCAGACCTAGAAATCCAGATCCTCCTGCTTCTGTCTCCACAGTACTGGAATCATAGCATGCACTATCACACCCATCCTGTTATGTAATTTTAAAGATGCTCTTTAAAGTTCCTGAAACCTGACTGAGTGCCTTCCTTTCCAGATGAATGTAATAGTAAGAATCCACATTTAGACCATCATGAGGAAGGACATAAAGACAGAACCATAGCACATGTGAATAGTGTGGACTCTGTCAGTATATATAAATAGATTCTATATAATTACAAAGTTTCATTTATTTGATGGCTAAGAAAAAAGTACAGTGTATGGAAAGAAAACACATATCTTGCAAAACATGAAGATAAACTGAAATACAAGATAAAATAAATTCTAGATGTAAGGTACTCATGACAGCACACTAATATCAACTATGTTATTTTATTTTATATTTTTGTTTGAAGACTAGTCAAAGAAAAGAATGGGGTCACTGCTTCCTCAAGGCAATACAGGTGAAGTCAAAAAGGTAAGTCAAAAGGGATGTGTAATATGCAACCTTATGCAGTGGTAAACAAAATGAGAGTGTTTGGACAGCTGAGAGTATTATAGCCATCTTTTATGACTTATGCTATAGAAAACTTGTTGAGGGATATTCAATCTCACTGTTTGCATATGCATCAATTAAATAAAATTAACCTTGGGTCAGGAGGCTGAGTTAGCAAATAGTTGACAGAAAGTGATCAGAGAGCATCAGAAGGTATCTGGAAGAGATAAAAAAAAAACCACATTGGACGTAGTAGGGGTTTTGAGTGGCGTGGCTTTTCTTTGTTTTGGTGGAGCAGAAGGATGGGCTTTTTGGGAGACACCAAGAAGACAAGGAGTTGGACATACAGACTGAAAGAAAAGTAAAAAGCAACATGGTAAAACATAGATGAATAAAAATGGGTTAGTTTAAGTTATAAGAGTTAATTAGGAACAAGCCTAAGCTATATGCCAAGCTTTCATAATTAATAATAAGTCTCCATGTCATTTTTTGTGAGTTGGCTGCCCAAAGAAAAATTCATCTACCAAATCTAATGCATTTTAAATACAGAATTAACTGCCAGTGAATTGGAAAACAAGGCAGAAAGACATGTTACTTACTCTCTTAGAACTGCATACCATATTGGCACTGGCAGCAAGCAATACACATAGTAAGTCCAGGGACAGGCTTGGATCATCAGGAAGCACGCCACTAAGACACCAATAGCTACAAAGCTACATGACAAGAGATGGTGTGGTTTCTGAAAATGAAACAGAACATTTAAACACATCTAAACCCATGAAAACTATTTTCTGCTAATGTTTCTTCAACTAGATTATTAATCAGAATTCTTTCAAAATGAAAAATCTATCATTTGAGGGTGACTGAATATCAGGAAATATCTGGCTATCCTAGAATGGTTACTATTAAGCAATTCTCAGCTGCAGACTGGCAATAGTCCTAAAGTTGGTTTGTAAATAATTCATTCAGAACTCTGAACATAGTTCCTGTTAGAAACAATTTTTCTAAATCTTGACTGGCTTCTGTGACTAGTTCACAAAGACCTATTATTCACACAATAAACTCTTCTTCATTTGAAAATAAACTTTCTTTCTACTCAAGCTCCAACCTGTCATGCTGCCCACTCGCCTCTCTCCCACTGCCTAAACACAGTTGGCCTCTTGAGTTAAATCTACTGCTCTCAACCACCTGCTAAATAAGAAATTCCCCACATGTAAGTCACTAGTGCCAGCTTCACAGACTACCAAGGCCTCTTGGTGCTCTGGGCCAGGTGTGAGTGCAAGGGTCAGGAACACACAGTCCAAGAACTGGGAAAAGGACCCATTTAAGGGAATGTAACAATGCTGAGAACTACAGTTCTAGGGTCTGAAGCAGTGGTTACAAAATGGTACAAGGTACATTAAGCACCCTCAGAAGATACTAAGTATGCCTGGAGAGAAGGAAGGAACTGTGGGGTGGGGGGAAAGGTGCTATTTTTGTTTCCATTCCTTGTTTTCTGTTTCTTCAGCCTGTTATCCAAGGGTAAATACAGTGGGAATTAAGAACCTCTTTCTGGAAATACACAAATTTAGGGAAGAAGAAAATATTAAATATTTCCCATCTCTTTTTTTTTAATGTAGAAATGCTTATTTTAATTTGTACTTCTTATAGTTATCATTCTCTTTATTTTTTTTTCTTAGTCTTTAAGTACTTTTTTTTTTTAAATTTATTTTGCAATACAATTCAGTTCTACATATCAGCCACGGATTCCCTTGTTCTCCCCCCCTCCCGTCCCCCTCACCTTCCCCCCAACCCCCCCCCCCCATTCCCATCTCCTCCAGGGCAAAGCCTTCCCCACAGACTGAGGTCAACCTGGTAGACTCAGTCCAGGTAGGTCTAGTCCCCTCCTCCCAGGCCGAGCCAAACAATCCTGCATAGGCCCCAGGTTTCAAACATCCAACTCATGCAATGAGCACAAGATCTGGTCCCACTGCCTGGATGCCTCCCAAACAGATCAAGCCAATCAACTGTCTCACCCATTCGGAGGGCCTGATCCAGTGGGGACCCCTCAGCCATTGGTTCATAGTTCATGTGTTTCCATTCATTTGGCTATTTGTCCCTGTGCTTTATCCAACCTTGGTCTCAACAATTCTCGCTCATATAAACACTCCTCATTCTCGCTAATTGGACTCCCAGAGATCCACCCGGGGCCTAGTCATGGATCTCTGCATCCAGATCCCTCAGTAGTTGGATGAGGTTTCTAGCACAACAATTAGGGTGTTTGGCCATCCTAGAACCTCTTTCTGGAAATACACAAATTTAGGGAAGAAGAAAATATTAAATATTTCCCATCTCTTTTTGATGTCTTTCTCTACCAGCATAAAATATTACGAAGAAATCAAGGATAAGTTAGGACATTGATGTAAAAAGAGGCTGAAACACAACACAGTAGCTAAGAGCTTTAAGTTCGAGTTCATAAGCTGGCTATGATACTGTGATGGGTGATCTTGGTTGTCAACTTTACACACCCGGGAAGAGGGAACTTCAGCTAAGGAACTGCTTCCTTAGATTGGCTTGTGAGCATGTCTGTGCAGCATTTTCTTGATTAACAACTAATGTGGAAGGGATCAGTCCAAAGTACAAAGCTTTCTTTAGACAAAGTTTTGTTCTATCCATAACATGGGAACAATAAATGTATATATATTTATCGGTAATAAGAAATCAGATTCCATAGGGCTTAACAAAGTAACTAAAACATTATTTCTGCTTACTAAATGATGGCTATTATTTTTATTTTTATTCTTATTTGCATTAGTCTTAGCAATCACAAAATCTCTCAATCAATAGCACAAGAAATAAAGATTAAGAGACAGCAGTGGAAGTTCCATAGCAAAATGATGGGGGATAGAAGGGCAAATTTAAAGAAGTATGGACAGATGAGATCTCTAAAACTGAAAGGGGCTACACTACAATTGTAAGAAATGAGAACTCATTTACACTATTTTGAAATGAGTAAAAATAATAATAAATGCAAGATATGAGAGTGTCTAAAAAACAATTAGATTTTCCAGAGTTAATACAATATGGTAGAATGATCTAAGCCTCAATCTCCCATCCATATTACGAGAATCATAATCAACAAAATTGCAGCAAGGTTAAACCTAAGTGAACAACATTCATAAGGTGTGGGAGCCCGTTCTCGGGTTCCTCGTGACTTTACCCAGCAGGTCCACATAGAGGATGATTAGGACCACGGGCCTGAGTACAGGTGTCTGAGATGGTCTGCACTTGGCTGTGCTGGGGGAGGAGGTCTTTTGCTCCACCCCTTGGCGTCTCTATAAAAACCCTGGGGCAGAGACAGTCGGCCCGTTGGAAAAGGTTCCAGGGCCTCTCGAGGCTATCCTTTATTTTCTATCTGTTTATCTCCGCAATAAATCCTTCTATCTAATAGCTCCTGCTGTTCACACTCAAGAAAACTCTGGGGAACTGTGGGGGTGGTGGGTAAATGCCCCACAGAATGGCGCCTGAACAGGGACTAAAGAAAAAAAGGGGGGACTAAAAAAAAGGGGGGACTAAAGACAAATGAACAGGGACGAAAGACAAAGTAATAGGGACTAAAGATAAAGGAAAATAATAGTTTTATTACAGAGTTTTTGGCGAAAGTGGTGAATTCAGCCCTGCCAGTGGATAAGGCATGCCGGTGTTATGGAAAATATATATTTTTATATATATTGAGAGGCAGGGGTTTTATCCTCGAGAGAAAAGGAAAGCGGACTGGAAGGATGTCCGATGCTGCAGCGCAATTCTCTTCTGTCAAAATTTTCTATCTTCTATCCCTTTCTCAATTTCTATCTGTGAAAAATAAGTATAAGGTATAGTGTAGTAATATAGTATAGGAAAAACTTAGAAGTGTAAGATTGTGTAGGAAAAAATAAGGCAACTAGACAGAAAACCTCTTCAATTTTCTAACTTTGGGGGCTCTGAATGCAAACTGGGGGGAAAAAATCTTTCTTTGGGCTTTACGGGTAGTAAAAAAGCTCTTCTTTGAGCTTATGGGGAAGAAAAAGCTTCCTATGGAAGCTTTTAACCTGGGGACAGCTGAAATGCTAAGTCCAAGCAGCAGGAGAAAGTGATTTCTCCCTGAGGTGAAAATGGGGGTGTAAAAGGCCAAAGTTTAAAGTTGTGAAGTTTTGGGAAAAGTTGGTCTTTCTCCTGGGGGAAAAAAAAATCTTTCTCTTAAACTATAAAGCTTTTCTTGGAAAACTTGGGGGGAAAAAAATCTCTCTAAAAAGCCTTAATCTTTCTCAAACTAAAAGCTCTTTTAAACTTAAAAACTAAAGCCTTTAACTTTCTCAGGACAAAAATTAGAATCACCTGAAGATATTAGTATGGGGACCACCTGTGATTAGCTCTAAGGGAAAATAACAAACCTCTTAAGACAGCAAAACCTAAGTTCTTTCAAGCTTTAAAAATCCTCCCTGCAATGCAGGAGGCAGGGACAAGTTCCTAAAAACCTCTACTAAGCTCTGTCTCTTCAAGCCAGTAAAAGACAGTGGGTCAGAGTACCCTGAGGGAAACGCTTGGGAGAGTGTGGGTAAAGAGCTACAGAGAGCCCCAAAGGGCAGGAAACTTTACCTGAGAAACAGAAGGGACATAATCCTCCCCAGAAAAATGCATGACCTGAAAAAGCTGCTAGAATTTGAGGCAGATTCTGGGGGAGAAAAAAAAGCCCCTACCTCCAAAGGCAGCTAGCAGAGGTACAGAGCCGCAGACAGATACCTGAAGCTCTGCATCTGCGGGGGGGGGGGGGGGGGGGGGGGAGGAACAAGCAAAATGAGAATAAAATCAGTGGGAGAAAAATCTCTTCTGAAGGAGCTATGGGAAAGTTGTTGTACATGATCTTGTTTTTCACTGACTGGCTAAAACAAACACAAGCCCCTAGGAAAGTTGCTATCAGAAATGCCAGCCTCAATGCTGGCTAACGAGGCAGGTGCAGTTCTGATTTGGGGCCAGTGTCTAATGAAGGAGAGACACCAGTTAAAGCCAGTTGAGAGAATAGGAATCTCCCAATGTGCCATAATTGAAAATGTAAAATGCTTGTTCAAATCTCCCATTGCAAAAGCAAAAAACTTTGTTCAAACCTCCTGGGCAAGAATTTGTAAGCAAGTCTGGTAAAAGAGAACCAGTTGACTCTCAGACCCGAAAAGAACTATGGGAAATGACTGATGGGAAATGATATAAGGAAAATTATATAAGGGACTGACTGATATGGGACTGATATTATGGACTGATATAAGGGAAATGCATTCTGAGAAAGGTAGTTTTTCCACTAAAGATGGCGACATTGCCCTGAAACACGCTTGTCAGCTCGAAAATACGTTCATGGTAAATTTAAAATACAGCTTTTAAAAGAATAAGGAGGAAAATCATTTAACTGTCAGTTCCAATGAAAAATTGAAAGGATACGGAACTAGGTGCTTCACGGTTTGGGGCTCCATTGGTAAAATGCCTTATTTACCCTAATAGCTGTGCAAAGTTTTTACGGTAGTTGAATGACAAAAAGCTACCTTTAAGAGCAAACAAGCCACTTTAAAATCCTTAAGAAAGCAAGAGAGAGCAGTTTATACACTGAACGTTGTCTTAGAAACATGTTGAAATTTAAGAAGTTCTTTGCCTTGAATGAACAGCCTGCAATGAGTGATTCCTTTGTAAATCTAATAAGGAGACAAGGAAACAGGCATTCAAAGAAATGACTGCTTT